TGGCAATAACACAAAACTTGCAAACAGATAAAGAAAGCAACATACCTAAAACGTAACAAATGATAATCACTTTAAGCATTATTTGGTTGAATAACATTGTTATTTAAAAATATAATTCTGCCAGAGTCTTTGAATTATCAGAAAACTCTAAATCTGCCAAACGATCAAACAAACAATAAGTCAACAACAGTAGGCATGTAGGGACACTACAAAAGCAGGGAACAAGACAAGATTCTGCCCACATGGCATTTCCTAGCAGGACTACATACATAACCCATGACTCTTGGGAAGAAGCATTCAGGTTGCCATGTGGCCAAGGTCAGCCAAGGACAACCTTGGAAACAGATGGGCCTGGGCTTTAATCACAGACATACTATTTACTAATGGTACAACCATGGGAAAGTGACAAAACCTCTCTGAGCCCAGTTCTTCATCCACAAAATGTTACAACTAATCTGTCCTGCATATGGTCATTGTAAGAAGTGTATGAGATGTATGAGGTGAACCTACAATTAAGTGTTCTTATCACACTCACACACAGGGTAGGAGGAAATTTTTGGAGGTGATGGATATGTTTATGGCATTGATTGTAGTGATGGTCCCACTGGTGTATACTTATTTCTGAACTCATCAGGTTGTATCCATCAAACAAGTACAGCTTTTTGTATATCAATCATACTGTAATCAAGTGGTAAAAAAGAGAAAAAAAACCTACAACAGCACCAGCAGCGGAGGGGACTTCTGATAATTATTAGTATCATCCTTTCCCCCCACTTCAGTTTCTATCTTTAAGAAAACTGCTCTGATATAGAGGAAATCCACCCCCTCACTGAATTAAACAGTATTATCTATGAGAGCCACTCTGTACAAATGGACAGGTTGTTCCCTGATGAAGGGAGAAAGGGGGCTGAGTTCCAGCTCATTATCACCCATCAAGCTGGATGCCCTGGCCTCTCTTTCTAATTTGCACAAAGGTGCTACATGTAAAGCTTAGGTACTTATCAGGCTCTGGTGTCTGATTTAGTAATGATGATCTTGGGCTTTGCCCATTTTGTGTCTGATGGGGAAATGGTAATCAAGAATTACATTTAATGTAATTACATGTAATTAATGCTATTCTAAGGAGGGCACTATGGGGACATAGAAGAGAGACATTTAAACCTGATGGGCTGGGGGAGGGAGGCCCAGGATCTGTGACCTAAAGGATGAGAGGAATTGGTGGAGGAGGATGTTCCAGGCAGAGGAGTGACATTCAGTTATTTATCCGTTCAGTAAACATGAATATCTACTGAGAGCCAATACTGAAGATAAAGCAGTGAATAAAATGAAATCTGTTCTTACCATCATTCTGACATTGTAGTAGGGCCAAGAGAAAATAATGACTGAACCTGAGAAGCATTAGGTGGTGAGATGTGCTTTAGGAGAATAACATGCATGGGGTGGTGGTAAGTGGGATGAGGGGACCATGTCTGAATGGAGAGTAGGGAGGCTCCTTAGGGAGGCGTCACTTGAGCTGAGAACTGAATGGCAATTGTGGAAACTCAGGGGTGAGGGACGGCTGTTACAAAAGTCTTAAGGGGGAATGAACTTTATATTCTGAGGTGGCAAAGGACACACTTAGGCAAAGTGTAGTGGGTGAAAAGAGGAGTGGGAGAGGTAGCCAGGCGTTGAGCATGATGAGCTGTGATACCTGCCAGGATTTCCATATGGCAAAACAGAAGATCTCTGGCTAGGGGCTGAGAGGTAAGAGGAAGAACTTCTAACAACACAGTCCCTTCCTTTCTGTCATATGACTATTGTTAGGTGATGAGAAATGAGTTGGGAGAGACAGGCAGGAACTAGGCTATGGTAAGTCTCAGCTGGATCTGGGAGACATTTAATTTTGCTTAATGCTATGCAAAGAATCCCAAGGAAGCCATGACTAAAGTCATTCAAAGACAGGCTTTTATTTTTATGTCTTCAGAGGAGGTTTGAATACCAAGTCTTATTTGTGTTAATTAATTGTTCTTGAACCATATTTCTCAATATACAGATCCCATGAGAGCTTGGAACTCTTCTCAGCTGTGTCCACACATTCAGATTAATGTACAATTTATTTTTGCAACAATGAGTTTATTTACGTGATAGTGATATCTGTTGGAATGTTAAACTGAATAGGTTGTATTTTATAGGGGGAGGAAACATCTTTTTACTGCTAAGAGCTGAGACAGCACATAATGTCAAGTTGGTAACAAATATGTGATATTTATTAGAGCATGGGAAAACTTTGCCTCATAGTACATGAAGGAGACCCTGCTAGCTGCTTACCTGACATCCATGATCTCCCCCTTATTCTTATTGACAGAACCTTAGATTTGATTGTCAATAAGCCCAGCTGAAAATACTCGTCTTCTAGACTCCCTTTGGGTCAGGGATCATTGTGTGACAAAAGTCTGGCCTGTGAGATCTACGCAGAAGTCACTGGAGAATGAAAAGGCAAATCCTGACAAGGAAAAAGCCCTGTGTCCTCTTCCCCTTTCCTCCTGCTATTTGTAGTCACTTGGTGACTCAGTGTTGTTGGGAGTCTTGTAATTTCTTTAAATATGTTGTAAAGCCAACATGTTGAGTTAAGGACCACTGTCTTATGAGGACTGTGACTAAATCTTTCTGGCACTTGTACTGGTCTGAAGTAACTATACACATAAAAATATAGTAAGATGATTTTATCAGAAGTACCTCTCAGAGTTCATAATTTGAGGTATCTTCAGTGTATGTCATGTTTCTTCCTGTTTTTGAACTCGAGAAATATAGTCAACAATTATTTCTTAAACGTTCATATAACATATGCTGACTATCTATAATTACGAAGATAACACTTTTTTATGTGCTGTGAGGAATAGAGATGATGAGACCAAGCTTCTTGTTCTGGGGGAGCCAACAATTTTATTAGATGACAGATGTGTTCATAAATAAATGTAAAACGTGTATGCGTATCATGTGGTAGGCCATGGCTGGGCCTGCCCCAGAAAAGCCTCTAAGTGGACATGAACATGGATGCAGATAAAAGGAACATGCTCCCAAATGCAGGCAGAGCACATGTTCAAAGCTTGGAACCTGGACATCCAGCCTGTATGGATGGCAGTGGGCTCACACTGTGGCAAAATTATTGCCTTAAGTGTAGTATTATTTATTTCTGTATGATGAAGAGCCTGGTGTTATAAAAGGTATGTAGTTCTGTGTTTCTTTAACCTGGGTTCGTCTCACTCAGTGTGGCCCAAGGTTGCTAGACTTCAGATATGTAGTCACGGGAGGGATGATGGAAGGAAATCATGGGAGCTGTGTCCACCAATCTGCATCCTTACCTGGTTTACATGCTCTATGTGGCTTACTTGCTGCCTTAGGATTAAAGAAAGTAAAAGCCATCCTGAAATATGGCCCCTGGAGAGCATCTTTGAATGGGCTGTGTGACCTGTAGGGATATAGTAAGTGACAACAGAGCATTACAAAGAGCACTGAGTTGTGAGGAGGAAGAAACAGTTCTGTTTAGGGCTTCCCTAAGGCTTCATTCACATGGCTGAAGAATGGGATGTGTATGGGGAAGCAGTGAGAGATGAAGCTGGAAAGGGAGTCCAGGCCAAGCTAAGAGGTTTGGCATTGAACATATTGGTAATGGAACCGAAGAATGTTTTTGAGCAACTATTAAACTAGTGAATTAGTAAAACAGGGGATCATAAATAAACCTGACATCATTATCATGTGTGAAACCTGAAATCTTCCAGTCATTTGAAATGACTGGAAGATCCCTTTAGGTGCCCAGGTTTGAACTGAGGCCATGTGACTGGAGAATAGTACATGAATTTAGAGTTTATCATAAAACCGATTGTTTTGGGGAGCACTAAAGAGAGTGGGGAACCACATATGAAGTTGAGTTTTTGAATTTGGACATAGAGGATAGTAGTACTGTGAACACACAAAGGGCACAGGAAGAGGGAAACAGTTCTTGTTTTAGTGATATTGGATTGAGGTGCTGGCGGTACATTCAGGCAGAAATGTGCTACAAGTAGAAAATAAGAGAAGGAGCCCAGGAGAGAGGTGGAGTGAGGGATGAGCCACCTATGCTGGGGTGAGTCAGTGAGTTTGGGCATAATACATGAACCTAATGACAGGTCCCAAATACATGACAAATGTAACAGGGAAGACATACCTAAGAGCGCCTTGGAAAATAAAAAACACTGCGATATTGGTATTTATAGTTTATATTTGTTTTACCAGCTGTTGAATTCTCAGAAACCAACTCTTATCCCAGATTGACCTCCTAACTGGCAGAATTGTCAAAGGACTCATTTTTGTGTAGAAATGTGACTCCTGTGACACTGAATCACCAGATCTTTCTAGTCTATACTAGGAGAAATAGACGAACTACACGACTAATTAAAGCACGCCTTTTTTTGGAGGTAGGGGGCACACAGCCCCTCAATTATAGGTAGTGGTGATCACTAAACTAATTCAACAACTAAAATCTTGGAGGTGTTCCGAGGAGGGGTATGGCTGTGCCTGGACGGAAGCTGCACGGAAGCAGGGGAGAGGTTAAACAGAAGAACGCGACCCGCGAGATAAAGATGAGCTAAGCTGATTGCGTAGCTCCCAGTTGGAAGCTGGCCGTCGTCATCAGGCATACTGGCTTCATTGCTCATCGCCCGGGAACAACTCAGTTTATTCCGAGGCGGGGCGGCTGAGAAGCAGGGGAGGGGGCACGAGTAGGGAGAAAAGAGCGCAGAAGAGCCCGTTGGGCGGAGACAGGAGAACTCCCCCCCGAAGATTTACTACATTTCCCAGAATTCAGTGCGGCAGAGAGGAGTTGATCGGTGTTCGCCGCTGGAAGATTTGCGACATGGGATTGGTAGTCAGCATCCATCGGTCGCCGGAGGTAGGACTCCGGTGGGGAGATCTATAGGGATTGGCTAATGAGAGTTCGAGTCCCGCCCACAGATGGTGACGACAGGCGGCGGTCTTGCTACTTAAGGCGTCGTGGCCCAGCCCGCCCCGCCTTAGCTCCCGCGCTAGAGAGAAACATGTATCGTTTCCGATCACAGCTCTTCACGGGGATTTCTGCTGCTGCCACCGCCCGCTCGTACCCCCGCCGCTTCTCGCCTCTGTTGTTAGCTGAAGACTCGCCTCTTAGCCGCCCGCCGCACAGACGCACGAGTAAAAAGTGCAGCTCCATCGGCTGATCCTCGCTAAGCTCCGAGTTTAGGCGGCACCGGGCGTCCCACGATGCCGAAGAATAAGAAGCGGAACACTCCCCACCGCGGTGGCAGTGGTGGCAGCGGCACAGGGGCAGCTGCAGCGACGGCGGCGACAGCAGGTAAGGGGGTATCCCCGCCGCCGACATCCCAGTTGCCGGCTGGGCTTGCGAGGCTCAACCTCGGGCGCCGTGGGATTTGTAGTTCCATTCCTCTGGTCATATGTGTCGGCCGCGCTGTTTGCTTGACTGGCGAACTACAATTCCCAGCGTGCCGTGGGGGCAGTACCTCGCGCGATTTGGATCTGGCTTGCGGACCGAACTCTTTGGCACCGGCCTTGGGGGCGGGGAGGGGCGGCACGAATAGGTTCTAGGGCCTGAGAGTGGATCCGGGTCCGGGGTGACGGATTGTTGGGCGGGAGAGGAACTCTTCTCAGAAGCGGTGCTTGCTCCTCAGAGCTCACCCTGACGGAGGGTGGGGCCAAGAGAGGATTTGCGTCTTGCTGTCAGTGGTTGCCTTTGACCCACCGACCCCAACGTGGAGTTCTGGGGAATGCCAAAGGTCCGGCGCGTTTGGCCCTGCTCTTGCGTCACGAGGCCCGCCCTTGCGCTGTGCGGCCCGGGTGACGCAGAGGCGCCGGTGTGGCATCCCATCCCGTTGCCGCCTTGAGCATCCCGCGTGTCCACCTGGCTGGGCGGAGGCGTGGAGGCTCAGGGCCACTGTCCGAGCCTAGGGTCTATTTCTATTACAAACTGGCACCTGCAGAAACCCCGCGCCCCCGCTTCGTCTGCGGGGGTGGTCCAGCGACCTTCTCCCGGGGGGGCAGAAACCGCGTTTTCCTTTGTGCAGCGTTCTGTAGGTTCTGTCCCCTGAGGCCGGGATGGGCGAGGTGGTGGGGAACTCAGGTTGCAATTGGCCAAAAGTTTAGATTTTTTTGTGTTCTCATTGCAACGTTGAAGCTTTTCCTGGATGGGTAGGTGCTTAAATGAACTCATGATTCTCTACTACTAACTATAGGGTTAGGGGAAAAGGACCTAAAAGAAAGTCTTATGAGACACCACTAAACTTAAATCGAGTATTAAGTTAAACTGGGTGAAATCATCTCATTTAGTAATTTTTTGGTCGAGATTTTGAAGTTAAACATTGGAATTCTCAGACTTCAGCTCATCAGAACTAGTACTAACCATTATGTATTTGTCAACACAATTGCTGATCCGACCCTCGTAATGATACGCCTCTGTTCATTAATGAATAGTCCGGTTTTCTTGTTAAAGATAATAGGAAACTGGCGTTTAAAACGCTTTCCTGTAGGATTTATAGCAGCATGAAAACTTATGTTCTGTAGTAAACATTTAATAATTGACAATAGAAATGAATTATAGTTGCAGTTTCCCCCCTTTTATGTTGCTCTTTATTTTGATTGTATGCCCTCGATACTCATGAAATTCATTCTTGATCAAGATGTAAAATACAAAATTAGTTTGTTGTAGCTCAGTGTGAATAGGGGGTACCTCTATTTTCTGTATTTTAGCTTTTCCTCCTCTGAAGTCAATTTGAATTGTCTGGGAGGTCCTTATTCATTTTATTCTTCTTTAAGTTTTACCTTTTGTTGGTGGAACAGATGATGGTGAAGCAGCAAGCAGTCATTTTAAAAGTTGTAACGGATGTTACTCATGGCTTCCTCGAATCACAAACAAATCTTTATCCCCTCAGAAACTCTGAAATTTCCTTTCTTCCTAGGGCTAACGAATAACCACAGGTGGTGGTGGGGGATTACTTTTCAAATTTCACCTCTCCTCTTTCCTCATTTCTCATCAGCCTTATTGCTGTTGCCTTTTTTTTTTAAATTTATTTTCAGTAGAAAAGGTAAACTTAAACACTGAATTTTAGCATATTCAAACGAATGGAAAAGAATTCTTCGTTGAGTGTATAAAACTGTACAGGCTTTGAATATTTTGGGAAATTTACACTAGGACTTGTTATCTGTGCTTACCTCTGATAAGTTGGTTATGCAGTGGGATTTACTTTTTTAAAACGTTAATTTGGTTCCATGTGGATGTATTACTTTTTAAATAAAGGAATAAATAATAACTGATTAGAAGAGATGGAACATTGTCACAAACTTGTACTTACTTAAAAGCCATTTACTTTATTGGTATTTTTTAAATGACATCCAGTAGAGATGGGATTCAAACGAGATCTTAACATGTACAATAAAAAGATAACCATGTTTCCTATCACTTTAATTGATTTTCCATTTAAATTCTTTCTCTTTTAAGTTATGCAAGGTTTTAGAAAGCTGATAAAATTGACAAGTATGCTTATTTTTCATTGCACTTAATTGAAAGAGAGCATTTTTTTAAAAAATGAAAGAACAAAACCTTGTTAGTAAACCCCCAAAGATATAAGGACTTTATGTCTAGAGTGCTACCTAATTAATATTACTTGGGATCACACAGTGGGTGAATTTGATCTAGATATCAGGCATTCATACAGGGTTCTTTTTCTTGATTTGTTGTTGTTTGTTTAACTTCTCTTTCCTGGAGTCTTGGAAACTGAGACTTAGGGAAAGGAGTTGAGTAAGAGGTGTGTAAGAGTACTCTTCTTGGCGGTTTAGAAGTAGAATATGAATATGAAAAGTAGAAAATATGAATTGACTTGTGAATGTGTATTAGTAGAAATCAGATGACTCTTAACTATTCCCATGACTTCAAATCATGGAAGACAATGAAGGTAGATCCAGAAATAGAGTATGATGTCATAGGTCTTGGTTTATTTGTTTATTCCTGGCCTAAGCACTCTGATTAATATGTTATGGTAGTCTGGCTTCTTAGCTTATTTTTTATGCCGTCCTACCTTTATTAGCAAAGTTATTCCCTTGGAATAGCAAGCAAATTTGAAGGCTGCTTGTCATCTTGTGTTGATTTAAAAATTAGCCAAATTGTATTTTGATTAAAAAAAAAACTTTATTAAAAAATACCACCCAAATACTAAACTTAGGAAGCTTAAACATAGAGGATTGGGAAAACAAACAAACAAACCACCTCTTTTTAAGGGAATAAGTGACATGAATTTCTTGAACATAGGCACCTGGTGATATTTGGTACAATCTTTGATTTTACTGATAAGGGAACTTGGACTCAAAGGTGAATCAGGTGACTCAAAGTCACTTTTGGGGCAGATTTTGGGACGTACTGTAACTCAGCGCTGAATGTAATTCATGACAGAGCAGTACTTTATTATTAAATTCCTGCAAAACAAAATATAACTAAATTTTTTTTTTTGAAGATTTTACTTATTTATTTGGCAGACAGATCACAAGTAGACAGAGAGGCAGTCAGAGATAGAGAGGGGGAAGCGTCTGAGCAGAGAGCCTGATGCAGGGCTCGATTCCAGGACCCGAGCCAAAGGCAGAGGCTTAACCCACTGAGCCACCCAGGCACCCTGGATTTATTTTTTAAGTTAATTTGAGGAAAGATTCTAGTTACAAAAAAAGATTTTTATTTTGGGGTTCTTGGGTGGCTCAGTTGGTGGAGCATAGGATTCTTTATCTTGGAGTTGTCAATTCAAGCTCCAAGTTGAGTGTAGAGATTACTCAAAAAATAAAATCTTTAAAAAAAAAAGATTTTATTTTTTAGTAACAGCCCTGATGTTTTTAAACTGTTGGGTATGTTAACCTTTCTTTTAAAAGTGAATCATCTAACAGGCTTTTCTACTATATCAAAAACCACAATTTCTATTTTATTCCTTCCCCCACCTTTTATTTATTTTTTATTTTTATTTTTATTTTTATTTTTTAAGATTTTATTTTTATTAATTTGTCAGAGAGAGAGCACACAGGCAGGCAGAGTGGCAGGCAGAGGCAGAGGGAGAAGCAGGCTCCCTTCTGTGCAAGGATCCCAATATGGGACTCGATCCCAGGAGACTGGGATCATGACCCGAGCCGAAGGCAGCTGCCTAACCGACTGAGCCACCCAGGCGTACCCCCCACCTTTTTAAATAAAGATTTTATTTATTTATCTGTTTGAGAGAGAGAGAGACTGCGTGTGTGTGTTTGTGTGTGTATGTGCAGGGTGAGGGGCAGAGGGGGAGAGAGTCTCAAGAGGACTGCAGACTGTGCTGACCCCAGCATCCAGAGCCCCACATGGGGCTTCTGAGATCATGACCTGAGCCGGATGTTTAATTGACTGAACCACTCAGGCGTCCCCCCTCTCCCCTTGCTTAATTCAAGTTATCTTTAAAACTACCATCTCTTAATGTCTTATTTCTTCACACAAGGTGTGTAACTTAAAAATTAATCCATTTACCATGTTTATGTTTACTAGGCTCAGTCATTCTCCTTGAAAAATATACTTATTCTTATGACCTATTATTTCATACTCTATTTCTGGATATTTTATTGTCTTCAATGAAGTCATGTTTTGGAAATACTTTTTCAACCATAATACCAGTTTTTGATACATTTCTGAAGTTGATTTATATTGTAAAACAGTAGTCTGAAAAACAGGTGAATTGACTTATTTTAGAATATTTAAATATGTTTATTTGTAGCATAATCATCCCTTCTAAATAAGGTTGGGTTTTCATTACCAAATTTCTCCTAAGTAGATTTAAAAATTCCCAAGTGAAAATTTTGAGCATATGGCAGCACAGTCATCTACTTCCACCCTCTTTTACCTACTAGGTGGCCAGCATCGGAATGTTCAACCTTTTAGTGATGAGGATGCATCGATTGAAACAATGAGCCATTGCAGTGGTTACAGCGATCCTTCCAGTTTTGCTGAAGATGGTATGAGTTTTAAATTTAAATTTGCAACTTTAGATAAAAAGATGTTTTAGGTAAAAGAATTCTTATAGCTAAGGCACACTATCGCTGTTTCCTATCTGCTTTTTTCCTACTTAAATTAACAATGTTAAGTTTATATTATTCCTTAGGACCAGAAGTCCTTGATGAGGAGGGAACTCAAGAAGACTTAGAGTACAAATTGAAGGGATTCATTGATTTGACCCTGGATAAAAGGTAGGAGATACTGGAAACTTCGTTCTGTGTGATTCTGATCAGCCACTATGTATATTATATGCAGTTCTGTGATTTAACAGTATATTTTTCTAAAGCCTGATTTGTTTACTTTGGATCTTTAAATGTTTCTTGTTCCTTTGGACTTTTAACGTAGATAGGAACATGCCACTAGAATTTAGATTGTCTCAGATTAGTCATTATTCTAGCATAATAAATAGCATATAACTGTATTTGATTGCAATTGAAATGGGTTTGTTGGACTAAAAGTTACTCTTCAGCTGGAAAGAACAGCTAAACTTTGGCCTCTTGCCCACTAATTTTATTGCAGATGTGAAAAATAGCAAAGCTAAATTTTCTTATTTCGTAGTAGTTCTAGAGCTGACTTAAACAGAAGTAAAAAGCCCTAAAGATGCAAATGCGAAGTCCAGACTTTTGTAGTATCAAAAAATTGTGAGTTTGCTTAAATATGTAATACGGGAGAATATGTCTTCTGTGTAATGAGGTGAATTGTGGATAGAGCTTGATGACAATTCTATAGAAAGAAACAATCTACAAATGTATAAAGAGAAATGGAGAGGGAAATAGTGTAGTTTTTATAAGTCATTGTTAACCCATGGTACACACCAGATTGATCTTCTGATTTGTTTTAAATAGTGCGAAGACAAGGCAAGCAGCTCTTGAAGGTATTAAAAATGCACTGGCTTCAAAAATGCTTTATGAATTTATTCTGGAAAGAAGAATGACTTTGACTGACAGCATTGAACGCTGCCTGAAAAAAGGTAATATACTTATTTTTGAGTCAGAGGCACAGAACTAAAAAGGAATTTGCCACCTTCTTTGTAGTAATATTTATTAATGGAAATGGAAGATTGGCTCACTCTTAACTTTAAAGTTGTCAAGGAATACACTATGCTTATTCAATTCAGAATGAGACTTGTTAGAAGCTTTGTTTTTGTTTATGTAAAAACAGCTTGAAACTAGGATTGTGATGGATTGTCATCCATGTTTATATTGGAACAGGTGATTGTCATTTTCATGTATAAGAAAATCTTGAAAGCTTGTGTCAGATTTTAACAAAGGTATTGAAAAAGCCATCCTACTTCATTTTCCTAATTTAAGAAGTATTATAATCACATAGCTCATTTTCCCTTGCACTTACTAAAAACCTCAGTCATACCTGTGGATGACATCATTTTCAGGATATCCCTTGAAATGTTTAAATTCTAGAACTTTGTAATGGAGATTCTGGAAGTCATATTATAATCATAGAACTTTTAAGAATGAAGAGAGACCTTGAAGATTAAGTCTAATATTAACAAACTTCAGTTTTAGGAACCACTAAAATTACAAGGATCTGGGGCTGCCAGCTTAATTATTTTGTCAAGTAAGAACATTATGAGAATAATGACCTTCTATCATTAGGTCTTTATTAACAAAATATTTCTAGCACCAGAAATGTGGGAAGCACACATGCTCTTTTTAAATTGAATGAGCTTATTACCTTTATCTTCTTGTTTTTCTCATTTTACCGCAGGTGAAAGCTTTGCAATAGAATGGATATTTGCAAACTTTTCAACCATTCCATCTCTCTCATTGTACAGAATAAAGGTCTAGGAAATGTGAGATTGGTCTAAGGTTATATAACTTCTTAGTGGTATAGTTGATAGCAGAGCCAACTTTTTTGAGACTGTTTCCTATAATGGTAGTTGGATTAGATGACCTTTAAAAATTCCATTCCAATCTGCTTTTTTAATAGATTTTTAATTTGTCAGGTAATAATTTGGTATCTGCAGTTTTCGTATGGTTTTAAAGAATTCTTTCTTTCTTTCTAAAGATTTTATTTGAAAGAGAGAGCATGGATGTATAAGCAGAACGGGGAGGGGCAAGCAGACTCCCCTCTGAGTGTGGAGCTGGATGCGGGGCTGGATCTCCGCACCCTGAGATCATGAGCTGAAGTGAAATCAGGGGTTGGATGCTTATCGACCAGAGCCACCCAGGCGCCCCAAGAATCCTTTATTTTTAATCCCTTATTTGTTTAAAAAAAAATTGGGGAAGGAGAAACCTTGAAGGTTTAGTTTACTTCATGGGCTGCATACATCTGAAATGGTTGAGAAACTAATTCAGAGTCTACCTGAGCACTGTTCTATGAGTACATGAAAGATCTGGAAGGTCAGCTCAGCTTGAAACACGTCATTTTGCTGAATTGTTACAGTGCTCCCTTAAGACAGATGTTAATCTCCATTTCACTGCTGAAGAAATACGTTTTGAGAATAAGAGTTGTAAGTCATTTATTTGGCTAACAAGTGGTGGTTGTAGGGTGAGGTTGGTTTCCAGAGTTTGAGGTCACTAGGTTTGCAGCTCATGTTAGCATATTATGGGGTTATATAAACGGTAAATAATATTTCGGTGAATTGTACAAATTTGGGAAATTGCTGTCTTAATAAGTTTTCTCAGAACAATTTTTCATGGTGTACCTTTGCTTTTTTCCTAGGTAAGAGTGATGAGCAGCGTGCGGCTGCAGCATTAGCATCTGTTCTTTGTGTTCAGTTGGGCCCTGGAATTGAAAGTGAAGAGGTTTTAAAAACTCTTGGACCAGTCTTAAAGAAAATAATTTGTGATGGAACAGCTAGTATCCAGGCTAGGCAAACTGTAAGTATATGATTTTTTAATTTATAAGTCTGTCCAGGCATGACATCCAGATACTCTGATGAATGGTCTAGGTTACATTTTTTAAAATAATAGGTTTTTAATTAACGTTTTATTTGCATTTATCTTTTACTTTGAGCAGACTTAATAGGACAATTGTTTTCTTAAATTTTCTGAGATACCATAGAATATCCCAGATAGAACAAATCTCGAAGTCTTCGAAATCAAAGGTCGTAAGCTGATAGGAAATACTATCTTGAGTTCTTCAGGATGATTGAAGAATAATTTTTGTTGTAACTTAAATGATACAGAAAGTGCTTATTGGGTGGTCATTTTTTTATTCTAAGAAATGTAATAGGTATTTTTAAAAAACCTTGGCTGTTGTGGCCTAGAAGTCCCTATGAAAAAGCTGAATGCTTTATTTCGTAGGAATCTGTAACTTGTGAGATACTCATCTAGTCATGTCATGAGGTTTGAAAGACCATGTTTCATTCTCTAATTATTTGATACTTGTTACTCATGACAGTTGACTTTAGATTGTGGATTTTGTTTGTTTTTGGAGTGCTTAGGTAATTATCACAAACATCTTTCTGGGTTTGAAAGTGGATTTGAATCATAATGGATCTTAAGAATTTAATCTTAGTAGATTTGAATGTTAAGCTGTTGTTGTTTTTTTTTGTTTTTTTTTTTTTAATAAGAAACCAGTTCAGCTTTGAGACTTTCTAATAGTTTTAATAGTGACTTTTCACATTAGCTTTCTCTTTGGTATTACTATTTAGTATTACATTTAGATGACATTGATCTTTCTATCAGATAAACCCTGAAATCTTAGGGGCTTAATAAAAATTTATTTCTTGCTCATATCACTGTGTAAGTTGGCAGAGTCCCTGGGTATCCATCCACATCTCTGTGTCCTACCTTTACGTCTTCCTTATGGCAGCTATGGTGGCAAGATGGGGAAAGAAAAAAGACAGGTGCTCAGGCCAGAATGCATCACTTTAGTGGCTGGTTCCTTGGTTTACCAACTATATGGAGGCTGGGAATAGTTAAGCTGTTTCCCCAGAGGCAAAAAAAAAGTAGAATTTTGGTGACTTCACAGGAATCTCTTGCCCTCTAACAGTTCATAATCCCAAAATAGCTAATTAAGCTTTTGCTGTTTACATTTTTATCCCCCTTTTTTGGGTTTTCATGAAACTTTTTTTTTTTTTTAAAGATTTTTATTTATTTATTTGACAGAGATTACAAGTAGGTAGAGAGGCAGTCAGAGAGAGGAGGAAGCAGGCTCCCCGCTGAGCAGAGAGCCCGATGCGGGGCTCGATCCCAGGACCCTGGGATCATGACCTAAGCCGAAAGCAGAGGCTTTAACCCACTGAGCTACCCAGGCGCCACCTTTCATGAAACTTTTAAATCATGCAGGACTATAGGGGTATTTTTGAAATGTTTGACAGAAAACACTGTTGCATGGATACTTGTAGTAAACCCTTAATTTCCCTTGCATGTGTGTTTGTTGTCATTTTTTAAATAATATGTTTGATGCTTGCTATGAATTTAAAAAAGTACTTGATAATCCTCATATTAGCAGAAGGAATGAAGGCAGTTCTAGTTTTCAAGCTATCTTTTCTCTCTTAGAGGCATCAAAAGGAGAGATGTGGCTTTGCCTCTGCTGCTTGTTTAGGATGAGGGATTACAGATTGAAAGTTTCTGTTACTGAGAATAATAACTCGACTACTTTTTAATTTTAGCAATATCCAGTTTTACCAGGATGAAATAATGAAAATAAAATAATGACTCCGAGCAGATTAATCCGCAAATATCCTCATGATACCAGGAACTTGGCTGTGTGAACTTAAAGACTTCACGCTTTAGTGGCACTTAGAACAACATGAGAGGATTTTACTGAAAATGTGGCGAAAAGGGAAATGGAGAATACAGAAATCTCACAAATTATAAGTTGTTTTCATATGATTTATTTGTGTAGAGCAGTGTTCTGAAAACTAATGGTTCCTGTTTATGTTGCAAGCAGATTGTATATAAATTTTGTATTCTGAGCTCCATTTTATTAGGTAACTTAAACCATGGTAGTCCTGTAGTGTCATCATTTATCTAATCTCTTTTCCCCTAACAAAAGGAAATTATAGGATTCCTGACTGGTTTTCAACATAGGCAGAAAAAAGTGAAATTTGAATGAATTAGACCCCTTTTTAGGTGGCAAGTTTGAGGATAGTTAATTAAATTTTAGATTTCTGCTATTTCTTGGAAACTGATTTCTTTTAGAAGTTTTCATAGTAGAGTCTTTATAAAAAGAGATGAATGAATATAAATGGTTTTAAATACTTAAAAGCTTATAACAAACTTAATGTGTTTAAAGGTTTTTTAACAGAGTAGGCTTCTTTATCTCCAGTGTGCAAACTTCATCTCTGTCTTTGAGTTGGAGTTGGAAGTTTAAAAAGGATCTGCTGGATTAAAGAAGGAAGACCCAGGAGAAATTGAATAACTTTCCTAAAGTCGCATTGTTGGTTTGGTAGCAGAGCTTGGGCTAAAATCCACTTCTGTTAACTCTTGATCCTATATTCTTTATCTCTTCATATTCTTTTTTTGAAAAAGATTTTTATTTATTTGAGAGCGAAGGAGAGTATGAGCATAGAGGGGGCTGTGCAGAGGGAGAGGCAGAAGCAGACTCTCTATACCAGGACCCCGGCAGACACTTAACCCACGAGCCACCCAGGCACCCCTTTCTCTTTTTATTCTGTGCTTGGGAGCAGTGTCATCATGTAGTTGAGAAAATTTTCACACTGAATTATAAAAGCAGGAAAATACAGAAATAATAAAAAAATTACCAGCATTAATGTCTATTTTTTTCTTTTTAGTGTGCAACTTGCTTTGGTGTTTGCTGTTTTATTGCTACAGAAGACATTACTGTACGTAGAACACCCTTTACTCTTGCACATTTCAAATTTAATTAATTAATTAATATACTTGCACATTTCAAATTTAAAGTGGTTACCTTACCTTACGTCATGTTCTGATGCATTAGGAGCTGTATTCAACTCTGGAATGTTTGGAAAGTATCTTCACCAAGTCCTATCTCAAAGACAAAGACACAAATGTTATTTGCAGCACCCCTAATACAGTGCTTCATATCAGCGCTCTTCTCGCATGGACATTATTATTGACTATATGCCCAATCAGTGAAGTGAAGAAAAAGCTTGAGATGTATGTACTCTTAGTTTCATATTTTATAAAAACAACATTTATTGATATGATTGGTTATGTTCACACAGTAATGACTAACTGTTTTTTAGGCATTTCCATAAACTTCCAAGCCTCCTCTCTTCTGATGATGTCAACATGAGAATAGCTGCTGGTGAATCGTTGGCACTTATGTTTGAATTGGCCAGAGGGATGGAGAGTGTAAGTGTCTGACGAACAGAGGGAAAAGATTGTGTCTCAAGGACCATTATTCCACCATTATATTCATAATTAAGAATTGGATGATAACTTTGGAGTATGGCCAACTTGAGAATCAAGTGACTGATTGCCCTGCTTCTTGGCAGTGGTGATATAAAAATTTTAAGAGTGTAAACTGGTAGGGGTTGGTAGAGCAACATTTAAGTCGTTTATTACACTTAACTCTTGCTGTCTGTAGAACTCAAGTTTAGGGACACTGTTACTTGTGGAGAGAGTTGTCTACGGCAGTCTGTGCGGCTCTGCTTGGATGTCTCAGACACAGGCCATAGTAAGGTGACTCAGGCATGAGTGCTTTATAATAAATGTCAGACAAATGGATGAAATACTTAGTCGACATAGGTTTGAGATCAAATGAGTTTAGTCACTGTTGTTTAACCTTTCTAAGCCAAAGCTGAAAGCAAACATCCCCCTTTAGACTGGGCATTATGCGCTTTGCAGTTCCCTACCGACTGTCCGTCCATGGATGTTTATTACCTCAGTTTGGCTCTCAAAAGTAGTTGAGTTTGTGATAGCTGACCAGCTTTACCAGTTCGCCTGGTTCTGTTGTTTGGTTAGCACGGAAAGTTCTGTGTTCCAGGAAACCTTTCCTTTCAAGCTAACTGGGACATTTGGTCACCCTGGTTTGTATCCTCTCTTGTGAACTTTGGCTTACTTATTAGCTGCTTTTTAATGTAAGAACAAAGATTATATTTCTGGAATGAAACCTTTTCAGGAATTAAATATGTTATTTAACAATGAATAATTCCATTCTAGTCCCGTGTTTAAAAATATCTGGGAAGTGTCTTTTTTAGGCTTACCCCAGCCTCTCCCTTTTTCTTTGAAGGATAGCAGGGTGGGAATGAAAAGAAGTTATTAATGCTTTCAGTAGCGAATGAATCTACTTATGTGAGAAATTGAACTCAAGTTTAGCAATCAATTTAATTTTATTGCGCTAGTTAATGCCTCCTTAACCTCAAGGCATAGAAGCCAGATGTCCCACTTTTTTAATCTTCTGTTCTTCTACAGGCCAGAAATGGTAATTTCTTTTTCTTTTTCCTTTAAAGTGTATTTTAAAAGTAAAGTAATAAGGCAGTTCAAGTTATACATGTTGAATTTTTAAAAAATTTTGTAAATACACTTTTATTGTTGCCCACGTAGCTTATATTCTCTGGGTATAATAAATCATATGAGAGAGCTAGGAGAACTCAGATAAAATTGAACAAGTTTGGGTAACTATTTGTTTAAAGACAGAAGTGACCTGGGTTACGAAACAGAACCTAGCGTTTTGTTTGCTATTTTTGTTAAGTAAGCTTTTTGAAAGGAGTGAGTGTGTGGCTGTAGTGGGGGTAGTTAAGGAGTGTTCAAAAAATTAAACCATGTGTTGATGAATACATAGGCTGATTTAAATTAGGGTTTTGGAAGCAAATTCATGGCATTGAAATATTCAGAGCCTTTTGCTAACGATTATAAGTTGACATGAAGAATTAGGAATTGTTTGTGAGAGCTCTCTGTGTTCGCTCTACAACCAAACAGGTAAGAGTGCACTCTGCACCACACTCCCGGGTTCAAATCTCTTTTCCACCCTTACTAGTTGGATAATGTTGGGCGACTTCTCTATGCCTCAGTATCAGTATCTTTAAAATGGAGAATAAAGTAGTAATTACCCCATGGGGTTGTTGAGAACATAGATACAGTGTAAGTGGTAGCTATTACAGTAACTGTTCATTAAAGTGAGGATTACATCCCCCTCCTGGTGGTGATCTTTTGGTAGTGGCCTTTTAGGGGCTCTCTGGGATAACCTATAATAAAACAAAGACTATTTACTGGGCAGAGTTACAGGTCTTGGGAGCCACATAATGTGCTGACTCAGGAAACTATACCAAAATAGAATATAGACAGATCTTCCCCAGTTCTTCCTTTTTTGTCCCCACCTAACCTGACATGGGAAGTGCTGCAAGAACAAGGTAGACAGACAGACACACAGACACACACACACACCCTTCTGTGATAATGATCACGCTGTTTTCTTTTTATTACTGATAGGAGTTGAGGTGTTTATTTGTATCTCCAAGAGCCCATTTGTCCCTGGGTATATAGTTTTACTGTAGAGTTACCCTAAACTCTAGTAAATTGGCTTTTGGAAGCTATTTATGGACTATTTTTATGTCTTAAATTTACTTTCTTTTTAATGCCCCAACATGTTATGGATATGTTTCCCTATAATATTTAGTATTTAATTTTTCCAAGTTAATACTGTATTAAACTCATTGACTCAGACTGTAAACTAGATTGAGTTTTACTGATGGCAGAGATCAATTATAGTGGGATTTCTCAATCTCTGCACTGTTGATATATTACTGGGCTGGATAATTTTTTGTTGGAGGGGAGTCATATCAAGGTAATAGCAAATAGTAATACATTTTGTGGCTTCCCTTCAAAAGGGATTAAAATATCTTCTTAACTTGAGTAATTTAATTACTTAAATTGTGCACCAGATTTAAATTGTATTGCTTTTTTGAAATATGTCCAGTATATTTGAAGTTAGGTGCTTTAGGCATTACTGATAGCTTGTACTTTCGGAATAAGAATATTTGGAATTCCGGGGTTGTGTGCTTTGGGGACTGAAGAGCCAAAGGATAGAAGCTATGTTGGTATTTGTGGTATTCGGTTTCATGGAACTACTTTGAAATCCTAGGAATGTCTCGAATATGGTAGGAGCGCACTAAATATTTATTGAATGTATCTGGATATACTTGGAGGGGGAATGTTAATTGTTTAGTGGTAGTATATCATCTTGTAGTCAGCATTTCTGGATTAAAACTTCGGCATGATATTATAAATGCGTTAATGTGTTCCTGTGCGCCAAGATCTCTAAAGAGCTCAGAGATTTGTGGTGCTGTTTTTACCCCTGCTGGGTATTTTCCAAAGTAGAGTGTTCTCTTTTAGCACTAGGAAAGGTTGGGGGGAGGACCCAATAATGAACTAAACAAAATTGTTTTTCCTGACCAGGATTTCTTTTACGAAGACATGGACTCTTTGACCCAGATGCTTAGGGCTTTGGCTACGGATGGAAACAAGCACCGTGCCAAAGTGGACAAGAGAAAGCAGCGGTCGGTGTTCAGAGACATCCTGAGGGCAGTGGAGGTAGGTCTTTTAATGCTATAATGGCTACTTTCATTTACTTATTTATTTATAAAGATTTTATTTATTTGACAGAGACACAGCAAGAGAGGGAACACAAGCAGGGGGCGTGGGAGAGGGAGAAGCAGGCTCCTCACTGAACAGGGAGCCTGATTTGGGGCTTGACCCCAGGACCCGGGGATCATGACCTGAGCTTAACCACTGAGCCACCCAGGTGCCCCTCCTTCCTACCTTTTTTTTTTTTTTTTTAAAGTAGATTCGATGCACCCACCATGGGGCTTGAACTCATGACCCCGAGATCAAGAGTTGTATGCTCCACCAACTGAGCCAGCCAGGCGTGTGCTACTTGTTTTGAGATGAGATTGTTTTAGGCTAAACTGGACAATTTGGGTCATTTTTTGATTGAACTTCAGTTTTGGACAAAACAGTTTCCTCCTTTTAAGCAAGGTTTTTAACTACATACATAAAGATGACTTTCTTTTTTTTTTTAAACAAAGGAGAATTTAGTTCTGATGCATAAAGGTACTTTTTTTTTAGGTTAAAAAATATGACAATTTCATAGTTAAAAAAGTGTGTTTCACTTTGTTGTACTTGCCATCATTTAAGCAAAGGTGCTTAAAGGTGGTATTTTTTGTGAATGGTAAATTATTGCCTACCCTTCAGTACTTTAAACAAAGACCTTTGTCTGGGAAACCTGAGTGCTAAAAACTGAAATAACGAAATCCAACCTTTACACTTGATCTTAGCCAAAAGCCGAGAAATGATGAAATCCAGCCTTTAAATAAGGGTTTAAAATCGTCTGATGCTTGAGTATCTTCTATAGTCTTCTAACCTGTTTTAATCTACCTGGCAAATAAATTGATTTAGAAACTTTCAGGGATTTGGATAGAATGCATGGTTAAAAGGAACTGCAGGGTAAGAGCAGTTTTACTGTGGAGAATACCAAAGTGTTTGTTTTGTTTTTTGTTTTTTGTTTTTCTTAGCTAGATAAGAATTATTTCTTGGATATAAGAATAAATATCTCAGATACTTGCTATCTGATAGGGCAGTTCATTTAAGAATTAGTATGTCACCAAAGAGTCATCAACCTGACATGTATATGAAAACTTAGAATGGGAATTAAAAAAATAAAGATGCTAAGACCCCATTCAAGTCCAGTTTTGAAATGTTCCAATGATTCTCATACAGAGACTACTTAAGAACTACTTTCTTCATTTTAATCTAAGTATAACCTAGGGTATAAGTATAGAGGTCTTCTGGGACCTGAACATTTTGGTTAATGCTAACTCTAATTAGAGTAGTAGTTTATATTTACTCTGGTTTTTATAACCTAAAACACAGAATAAAATTCCCGAACTTGAGCAGACATCTGTATTAACAATTGATCCTTTTGATCTTAAAATTTTAGTGTGGTGGTATCCTCAAATTGAGCCATTTTCTTGAATGACTGCAAACTACTCACCTGCGTGGGTCAGTCAGTAAAGCATCTGCCTTTGGCTCAGGTCATGATCCCAGGGTTCTTGGATTGAGCCCTGCATTGGTCTCCCTGCTTGGCGGGAAGCCTGCTTCTCCCTCTACCCCTCAGCCTGCTCGTGCGCGCTCTCTCTCTCTCTCTCTCAAATAAGTAAAATCTTTAAGCAGCCTTAACAGGTCTTTTGTGTGCCCGTCGCTCTTGCCCAGCAGTACAAAAAGTAAAAGCCCTTTCTTCGCCTCATAATTCTGACCTGTGGTGCTCTCCTTCCCAGACCTTAAACACCCTCTCCTCTCCGTCTCAGGATTTCTCTTCCTCCCCTCCGTCTCAGGATTTCTCTTCCTCCCCTGCCCTTTGACCGGCTTCGCTGTGCTCCAGCTCTGCTTCACTATACCTGCCAAAGAAAGGTCTGGCCTTCCAGCCTTGTTGAGTGTTGCTGTTTCTTTGCTTTTACTGGAAGCCAGTTTTCTCTGAAGGACCCTGTTTCCTGGATGGATGGAGGTTGTTAAACTGCTACAGAGGAGAATTCTCCATTTTAGGCATAGTTATTGCTGCCTGTCATTTCTTTTCATTCAGGAGTCATTCTTTTAATACTGTGTATTTCTCAAGTTAGCAAGCATTTAATAGGTTAGGTACCTTGACATACAGTTTTCTTATTTTAATTCCTTTATAACTCTTAAGCAACAGAATTAACTTTTTAAGGAAAAAGGAGTTTACTAAAGGCATAAAGAACTTTCCAGTAGGAAAGCTGGAATTTGAACTCACTGCACTGTGGTATCTTTCAACAGGTCCAAGTACTGCAGATGGGCAAGTGAGAGAGAGTCAGAGTGTCCATTGGATTTGTCAGTTAGGTTGTTGGTGGGTGACCTTTACAAGTGCAGCTTCAGTAGAATGATGGCAGGAAAGCTTGATGGGGATTGATTGAAAAGAGAATGGGAAGTGAAGAAGTGGAGATGGGGTGTCTTGACTGTTCTTTTTTAAAACACGACTGTTCTTTTTTTAAACATGGCTATAATTGGAAGGGGAAGAGAGTTGACCACCGGACTGTGGGAGGGTGTGTTACTGTGTCTTGTTTAAGATGCTGGATGCATTTTATGGGAGGAGAAAGCCATGGAGAAGGGAGCATTTTAAAATATAAATGAAAGGTTGAGAGTATGATGGAAACAGTATGATTTGCCTTGAACTGGAGAGATATAGGAGAAGAGTAGGTAAGGATGCAGTTGAGTTTAGAGGGAGTTCTTTCCTGGTGTCTCAGTGTTTTCTGAAATAAGGAAGGCTGAAATAGTAGAACCCTTGTGGGTTTTTTGAGCTGTTGTAACAGATCAGCTACTGTATGTGCTTCACACACAGACTTTGTCTTACACTTGTAATAACTGGTAGAGGGAGGAAAGCCCCACTTGACAAGCAAGGGAACAGACCCAAAGGGGTTAAATTACTTGGCAAAATGACAGGCCAATGAGTAGCATACTTGTGTGAGTCTGGAGTTTGCATTCTGTTCTTCCATGTTATATGCTGTGTCTGTTGGGAAAGAAGGGGGCTACGTAGGTGTGGGGAAGACAGTTGGAGTGATCAAGTTCCGTCTCTTTATCCTGTCTCCGGTGACCCGCTGTTCTCTTCCTGGTTATTCTTTCATAGTCATGATTCATCAAACAATGGAGTGGCCAGTGTTTTTCCTCCCAAGTTTTGCCCCTAGTCTGTGTGACTCCTGTGCATTTGGAAAACCCTATCCTGTATTTGTTCGTGATCTTTACTTCCATTTCCTTTATTTCCATTCACTTGATTCTCTCTCAGGGTTATACTTTATAAAATTGTCTTCTGGCAAAATTATTCCATCTCTGAAGTCTTAAACTCACCTATTCCCTCTCATTTTCTCTTTCTTTCTTTTTTTTTTTTTTTAAAGATTTTATTTATTTGACAGCACAAGTAGGGGCAGAGGCAGAGGGAGCCCGATGTGGGGCTCAATCCCGGGGCCCTGGATTCATGACCTGAGCCAAAGGCAGATGCTTAACCAACTGAGCCACCCAGGTGTACCTGCTCTCATTTTCTTAATAAGCCTGGTCTTAAACCCTTGGAACCGCCTGGTTGCTGGTCCTCTTCTTTTTGGTTGGTCTGTTAACCCCGTTTGTGTTCTCTTGACCCTGCTTCCCCTCGGTTTCACCACTGGTGTGTGGGGTCATCTTATCTTTGATACCTCCTCCTCTTCCCTCCCCACCTCACCCCCCATTTGTAGACCGGTAGAGATAACTTTTTTTCCTTCAAGTTTTCTTTTAAATTAGCATATGATGCATTATTTGTTTCAGGGGTACAGGTCTGTGATTCATCAGTCTTAAACAATTCACAGCACTCACCACAGCACATACCCTCCCCAATGGCCATCACCCAGCCACCCCATCCTTCCCACTCCACCAACTCCAGCAACCCTCAGTTTGTTTCCTGAGGTTTCTTGAGTGCTACTGAAATTTAAAGACATTCACAACAATGTGGTTTGCCAGTAAGATTTATCTGAACTCAGTTGTGCCAAGTCTATGACAACTAGATGAAGTTCTACACCCTTATTAGGATAGTAATTTCTAGTCTATTCACATCTCAGGGATGGCAGTATCAGTTTAAACCATATTGTTTTCTTACCTCAGCACGTAAATGTGTCTATTTAGAAATTGTATTTATGTAGGATCTCTTTAAGTCCTCTTAATTCCTCTTAAAATTTTGGTTCTTCTGTTGTCTAGGAACGGGATTTTCCAGCAGAAACTGTTAAATTTGGCCCTGAACGAATGTATATTGATTGCTGGGTCAAAAAACATACCTATGACACCTTTAAGGAAGTTCTTGGATCAGGGATGCAGTATCATTTGCAGGTGAGTGAGTGACCTCTTTTCTGTGTGTTTGCTTTTAAATTAGGGAGCAGTTTTGAATGCAGTTCACTGAATGGGCTTTTGAAGTTAGCGGGATATGCAGAATGCATTCAGGATGATACAGAACTACATTTTATTAATCAATTTTACATTTATATTTTAAAGTAGAATTCAATAAGTAAGAAACTCTTCTGTTTGTATTGTATAAATCCGGTGGAACATCTATAAATTCGGTAGAGCGCTGTTGCTCTTCTCATAACTTTACTGGATTCAAGGCATTTGAAACAATTTAGTCTTACAAAGAGAAACAGAAAATAAGTGACCTATGTTCTTATTTATAAGCTTCACATTACTTCTGTTAATCATTTCACCTTATATAAAAAAGAGCTGATGTTTAATAATGAGCTTTATTACGTTTCTATTTTACTCAAGTCAAATGAATTCCTTCGTAATGTATTTGAACTTGGACCCCCTGTGATGCTTGATGCCGCAACACTTAAAACGATGAAGATTTCTCGTTTTGAAAGGGTAGGTTTTGTTTTTGTTCTCATCAGAACCAAATGCATTGAAGAGAAGCAGAGCTGATGCTTCGATTCTACCAGGCGATAGGTGTTGAGTGGAGTCTGTGGGCCTCGAGTGCCTCATGCTGTTTCAGACACAACAGCTGTATTAAAATTGTAGAAACTTCATTGCAGTTAGAGTACAGAGGGGTTGTATTGAATAATTTTATCCTTAGTCCCATTAATATAGAAATTTTCCTTTTTTGTTTTCCTTTATTCTGTTAACTTCTATTAAAGAATAAATATTACATAGTGCTGCTTTTGTATCAGATAACTAAACCTACTTAATAAGTACCAGATTCATTTGCAAGTTAAGGAAACAGGCTTAGAGAGTTTGTGACATTACTTATAATTTCACTTAACCTTTCAAAAATCCTTAAATTATGTTTTTACTGAGGTGAAATTCACGTAACAAACTGTTTTCAGTCATATAATTCAGGGCTTTTAGTACAGTCACAATGTTGTACAGCTATCTGTCTAGTTTCAAGATATTTTCATCTCCTCAGAAGGAAGCTTATACCTTTAAGTATTCACTTCCCATTCTCCCCCTCTCCCCCCCCCTCCCCCCAGCTACTGGCAACCACTTGTGTGCTTTCTGTCTCTGCATTTACCTATTCTGGATATTTTGTATAAATAGACTCAAATAACATGTGACCTGTTGTGTGGTTTTTTTCATTCAGCATTATGTTGCCAAGGGTCATCCATGTTCTAACACATACCAGCACTTCAGTCCTTTTTGGGCTGAATAATACTCCATGGTGTGGAGTATTATTGATTATCCAGTCATCCATTGATGGACATTGAGCTTGTTTAACACTTTTTGGCCATTGTGAATAATGCTGCTATGAACATTTGTAAGTTTTCATTAGAGCACCTGTTCTTAATTCTTTTAGGTATAGGAATGGAGTTGCTGGGTCATATGGTAGTTATATGTTTAATTTTTTAGGGAACTGCCAAACCATTTTCTGTAGGTCCTGTACCATTTTGCATTCCTACCAGCAGTGTATGAGAATTTCAACTTCTGTATCCTTATCAACACTTATTATTCTAGCTTTTTTGTTTTTGTTTTGTTTTAAATTATAGCCATACTAGTGGGTGTGAAGTGCTTAATCATATATACATATTTGTAAATATATATGTTTATCTCATATATATGTTTATATATATATTTCTTATATAAAAATTATATTATAATATAACTTATATATTATATTATATATAGCATATAATATAATATATGTTATATATTATTATATTATATATAATATAATATATTTATAATTTATTATATATATAATTATATCTTATATATAAATATGCTTTTTTAAGATTTTATTTGGGGAGAGAGAGAGCGCATAAGTGTGTGATTTGGGGGAGGGGCAGAGCAGAAAATCTCAAGCAGATTCCATGCTGAGTGCAGAACCCAGTGTGGGGCTCAGTCCCATCACCCTGAGATCACAATCTGAGCCGAAACCAAGAGTTGGAGCTTAACCAACTGTGCCACCCAGGTGCCCCTGAATTGTTTAATTATATTTTTATAGACTCTCTATAGTTAATCATTGTTATGGTCATATAATTGATGAGTATTTTAATATTAGCATCTTTACATGTATTTCTCCTTTGAATTTTTTTCTCAGAAGAAATCTGTACATGGGAATACAGAGTCAATTCTGACTTATTTGATATGTACTGCCAAATTACCTTCTAAAATTATTGTCATTTTTAATTATTTCTAGTAATGAATGAAGGTATATAGCTATTACATATTTGACAGCATTGAATTTTAGGATTTAAAACATTTGTTAGTTTAATTGGCATTAAGATGGAGCCTAATTTTTTTTCCTTGCTATTTTAATTAATTGGATATTTTGGGTATTTTGTTCACTTTGGTACATGAATTTTTTTTTTCTTTGATCAGATTAAATGTTGATGCATTTTTAAAAAACTTTTTGTTGGAATTTGGTATTTTACATATTTGAATAATACTTTTTCTTAATACAGAATATCTGTCATCTATTATGTGTTAATTTTCCCCCTTGTTCTTTGTGTGTGCTTTATAAACTTTTAAAATTGATAAGGTTGAGTTAGCTCATTTCTTTGCTTTGTGATTTTTAATTCATCCTTTATCAGAGTATCTTAAATTTTAGTGATCCGCATGTGTTTTCCTTTCCTTCATTTCAGCACCTGTATAACTCTGCAGCCTTCAAAGCTCGAACGAAAGCTCGAAGCAAATGTCGAGATAAGAGAGCAGATGTTGGAGAATTCTTCTAGCTTTTCAGGATTGGAAGACCACTTTCTAAATTTTTTTTTCCCCTTTGGTAATTCCTAATGTATTTAAACTAGGGATAGTTTTTATCTAGGGTCAGCATAGATAGCTTTTGTAGCAGTATTATAATTTAATGTACAGTATTACAAATGGTGAGTTCTGATTATTGAATATTCTCTGTAAACATAAACATAAATAAAATGTAATGTTTGGCCATTTTCTGTTTATGAGGAGAGCAAAAATAACGATATTTCATTTGATTTCATAATGAGGAAAATTATTACCCAAGGTTAAATTTCCTATACTGTGGTTGTCCAAAAATATTGATTATAATGTTGTAAATATACAAGGTATTTAAGTTGTTAAATAGGTGAGTTCTGGATACGGTTTTGGGAGCTAGTTCTTCTGGAAAAGCTGCTATATTTTAATTTTTAAATGGAACCTAATTTAATTTTGTCACTGGGATCAACATAGAGAATTTATACCTTACAGAATAGACCTTACAGATGTACTTAAAGGTTATTCATTCCAGCTATGGGAGTTCATGAACAATTAGCATATGCCAGAAAGGCTGCTAACCTTGACCTCTGAGGGTACTAATACATTTTATCTGCTATATTCTTGTATTTTGAAATAAAGATCTTTTCACATAAAAAGTGCTTCTTTTCTAATAGAAGAAACATTTCTGGGTCTGAAGTAGAGTTCAAAATGACCAAGCTAGTAGGGAAAGAGTGAGAAGAAAACTTACTCTGTATATTTGGACAACATGAAAATAAATGAAAAAAAAAGTAGCAATGTCATTGGGAAAATTAGAATAATATTGTAGCATATCACTGGGATTTTAGTTACTGATTTCTTTGGTTTTAGTGCAGAGAACAGTAATAAGAGGCAGGAGGGGTGGGGAAGCATGTACAGTGTAGAGAAGAACCAAAATCAGTGAAGGTACTTCCCAAACTAGTGTTCTTCCTCTCCTGCATTTTCCACATCTCTGGGAGGTCTGATGGGGCCCCTCTGCTGCGCTCGGCTGGCCTGTGGGGGTGCTCTTGGTTGCTGTGAATGTGTGGCGCATCCTTCAGATCTGTGCAGAGGAAGACTGCCTTGGAATCCAGAATTTGAGTTTGCATGCTGTCACCTCCTTGTGCTCCCAAGTAGGTGAGAATTGTGGAAAAGAGATTGCAAGTAGTGTTTTCCCCCCTAAATGTTCAATTTCCTGTATGTATACATATTTTTAAATAATGAATTTTTATTAAAGCGATCTATATACATAGCTTAATAGTACCACAAGGATTGTAAGGAAAAATGTTAGCTCCTGGCACCATCCTTTTCCATTTCTTTTTTTTTTTTTTTTTTTTTAAAGATTTTATTTTTTTTTTTGTCAGAGAGAGAGAGGGAGAGAGAGCAAGCACAGGCAGACAGAATGGCAGGCAGAGGCAGAGGGAGAAGCAGGCTCCCTGATGAGCAAGGAGCCCGATGTGGGACTCGATCCCAGGACGCCGGGATCATGATTGGAGCTGAAGGCAGCTGCTTAACCAACTGAGCCACCCAGGCGTCCCTCCTTTTCCATTTCTTAGGGGGCATTTCAGCCTTGAGGTTTTTCCTAGCACCTTGGTTTTATATTTCTGAGTGGGGCTTATACTGCTTATTTATTAATTTGCTATGTTTAGAAACATCTGACAGCTTCCTATTTGATAGATGAAGGTTTCTGGCTTTTTACTTTTTTCTCATTCTCCCAGTATTTTTTCATTAAATTGGCATCATTGTATTATAGCGACCATATTTCTGTGTTCATTCCCGAACTAGTTCACTGTGCTTCTGTTTCTGTTCCCAACATTTTGTCTTGGTTTTACATACACATCACTACTTCTTCCAAAACAGTCCCAAATAGGTAAAACTTTAAATCTATTTTTGACATGGTCAAAGCTCTACTGTGTACTTGTTTCAGTATAAACTAAGTTCTTTCTTACCCATGTATACAGCTGTTTCCTGAGACTTCATCATCCTGGGATTTGTTTTTCACTCGGATTGGAGTTCGCGTTTCCTGGACCCTGTGTCTTGGTTATTAGATTACTTAATTGTTGAAGTGGAACACTTCCTTCAGTAACTCCAGGAATGGGTGCATGGGAGGTTGTTTACTTTGAGAGTACTACATGTCTTAAAGGTAGTATGGATTGGTATATAAAACTTAAGGTAGATAATCAAGATTTTCAAAGGCATTGCTCTATTCTAATGAAAGTGTTGTGATGCACAGTATTTATTTCTGATTTCTTTTTTTTTTTTTTGTTAGAGGTTTTTTAGTGTTCTAAAATTGTGTGATACTGTGCTTTGGTGACCCCTGGCAATCTGGAAAATAAAATTCGTAAGTTCTTGACCCTGCCCCGCACTGCACCCCTCCCCAAACCAAAAAAGCCCAACTGGACACACACGCACATACACTTTTCTTTGTGTCCAAACCCCATGACATAACTAAAGCTGCTGGATTCCTTATTTTTCATTCATTTTTCTTTCTGGGGGATTTCTATAATGTAGTTTTCCAATGTTCATGAAATGACCTGCTCGTGTTTCGCTCCATACTTCGTGTTGCCTCCAATTCTTGAGCCCGCCTGGACCCTGCAGGTTCCCTCACTCATCAGTGATGGTCCTCTGGAGGCCTGTGAAGGCAGGCTAACAACCACGGTCTCGTCCATATTTAATACATTTGTTGAAATATTGTTCAGTATTGTTTCTTCCTATCTTCTTTCTTGTGGTTTTGAAATCTTTATTCTGCCTTTTAGCTGGGGTTTTAGGAGGAAGAAGAGATGAGTGTTTATCTGCTTCTTACGTTTGTAGGTGGATACATTTTCATGCAATTTATGGATGTTTGCTCAACAAGGATTAATGGGGATTCAGTGTATACAAATGTTTGAGTTTTCTTGGAAGTAGTAAAATGGTGTATGACAGACGAGCTCATTCCTTGATTCTTCGTTAATCTTGCTGGTTTAAAGGAATTTAAAATGGTCCCTGCCTACTAAGTTCTTTGAGGCTCAAGCATTAATTTTGGAACAACCAGCATTCCATGATTCAAGTGGCATCCACTGAATTTTCTGGGAATTGGATCTAGATAGAATAAAGTATTTGAAATAAAAACCAAATACTTAAAAATGCCCCCAGATTAAACAATTCAGGTGAGAATACCTATTTTCTTGTGGCTTTGAACTATTCCTGATGTGTTCTTTCAGGTATGTAATAGATAAAATGAGGTGTGTCCTCTTGCTCTTAATGCAGTTCTCCAGAATTGGGAGACAATTGGTCATAAGCTATAAAAACTTTCAGCCCCTTCACTGGTTTAAAAATTCAGGGGCACCTGGGTGGCTCAGTTGGTTAAATGTCTGCCTTCAGCTCAGGTCATGGTCCCAGGGTCCTGGGATGGAGTCCTGCTTCGGGCTCCCTGCTCAGCAGGGAGCCTTTCTCTCCCTCTTCCCACTCATGTTTCTTGCTATCTCTCTCTCTCAAAAACATAAAATCTTTTTTAAAAAAATGGTTTTACTCAGATTTTGGTGTAAGGAATTGCTTAGACTCCATTTTCCTCATCCCTGGAGGAAATTGATAATTCACAGGCATGTAAGACTATAGGAGAGAGAAAAACAGTAAATGCTCAAAATGAGGCCATTCTATTATTTTTTCAAAGATTTGATGGTTTAAGACAGATCAGGTAGTCAGGGGAGTATTTAAAAAACAGGCTGGTAATTAACAGCAAACATTTTCATTTTTCATGGAATTTGGCATAGGTTTTTAATGTACAGGCAGTTATGAGTTATAATGTCTTCTGCATGAATTGGTCCTCTGGTACAGATGAAGCCTAAGAAAATGGCTTTCCTTTCCCCTAAAAGTAGGGTGAGGTCTGTACTGAATGTAAAATGTAAAGGAAGTTCTGTGAAGCCACTATTTTCTCACTGACATACAAAATGTTTCAAGGACAAAGAATGTCTGTCTTAGACGTGGCAGTGGAAGGTGGGATTAGAAATGACTGCGAATCCGTTTAGTACCCAGCCCTCAGCATCCCGCTGGGAGAGTCTGTCCCTGTGGCCTTCAAATGGGACTCACAGGGACGGCAGGACACACTGTAGCTCCTTTTATGTACAGCAGAGGGCAGAAGCTCCTTGTCATGTGCGTGAGGGAACCACACAAGAGAAAGCCTGACACTCCTGAGAAAGGAGGATGCCTAAAAACTCAGAGTGAATAAAGCCTTCCAGTAGACAGGGGGGTGGATGAGACAAAGTGCTTCCCTCTCCTGCGGTGGGTCTGGAGCCACAAAATCTCCCCCTCACAATCCTGTTTCCTAGTGACTGGACGCCCTAGGGGCTTTCTGACGTGCCATGCCCCTAGTTAATACCACAACCTTGTTCTGTCCTTGCTGATTGCCATCCTCTGCCTGGTCTGGAGTCCTGTGCAAGGTAGTTGTCAGGATGGCAGCTCCAGTCCGCTAGTGGACATTTATATATGGCACGTACCGTGGCTGAGGCGCTAGAAATGTGTCTGCTTACACACACACACACACACACACACACACACACCCCAGCCAAATAAGGACATTAACTTTGGTCCAATAAGGACCTCATCAGTTACCAACTGAATCAAAGCATGGTGGCTTTTTATTTTCAAAGCATGGTTTCAGCAATACATTCACAAAAAACCTCAGACATTTTGAAAAAAGTATTTGGCATCTTACATTGCTTGGCTAAATGAACACTAAATATAGACTGACATCAAGCTGGGGTTTCTGGGCCTTGTAGGAGCACCTGTGCGCTGAAGGAAGGCAAAGAAAGAACCACAGAATTTGTAAAGTTTTGTTGCAGTTGCTTCTGATTAATTTTTTTTTTTTTTCCTGGCCTCCTAGCAGTCAAAGCTCACATTTTTGTAAGTAATTTGCATGTTATTATTCTGCCGACCTGCATTATGATTCTTGAGCCTGGGATGTGTTTTGTTGCATGCACTCTGCTTTAAACTTTTGATAGAAATGATTTAGACTTGATTTAAAAAATTAATTCCTGAATGTGAAGAGGCACTGACTCTGAAATGGAATTTAAAGAACAAATTACCATGACTCACTCAAAGCTTCCTGTTAGCTTTGAGTTATGCCCGATTATAACAATTCTGATCCTGTGGCAAAGCAATATCGGTGTGTTACTTCAGAGCTTTGAGACCGAGCACCTTTGGTTAAAAAATAAAGAGCAAAGCCATTTTTCATAGACAACTATTCTGTCAGAATATTTGTAGGTAGTGAAAGAGTCCTTACATGATGAAAAGAATCAGTTGTGAGCCTTGATCTAAGCTGGAAGAAAATGAAATTACTTACATGTTTTAGTGCCAGGTATCAGAAAGGGCTCCATTAAAAGGATACTGCTTTGGTCAACCTTAATGAGCAGATTTGCACACCAGGATTAGGGAGAAGGGCTGAGCTGGGGTGATGCAGAATTTAGTAACCAGCCCCGCTGATTGTTGCCCTTCTACGGAGGAGCCACACATAGCAACAACTGGATGCCAACAGCCATGGGGCCTCATTTTAGGGCCATGTGATCCTGTATCCATTTACTTCCCGAGTCATTGGTGAGCACTTGGTGGCCGTGAACCACAGACGCCCAACTCTGTTTTCTTGGACAGGTCTTTATTTTCCATTTGCATGTTGTAGTTAAAAATACATGAAAATGGCATCTCTTTATATTGTGACTTAATCCTGAATAAGAAATTTACTTTCAGGGCCCTTCATAGCTTTCTCTTAAGTTGCTGCCTTAGTGCTTTTGGACTCCATGTTGCCCTGAGTCACCTTTGTAGTCAGCAGTAGCAAGGCTAATGATTTGGAGATTTAATTAACTGCACGGCTCTTGGGTTCGCTTTCGTGGCTGTGATTTTCTAGTTGGCCCTCCACTTTGTAAACATCAATTGAGCTTCAGTCTGAGATTTGAGCAATACGAATTCCATTCCTAAAGGGGAAGCTAAGGCTCAAGGACATTAAGTCAGAGATCCAAAAATGAACCACGCGTCAGTCACCAAGCCTAAAATAGGAGCCATGGCTGGAATGATGATCTTATGATGTGAAACATATAACCTTTAGTCTTCATCAAATTTTAGTATTGGGGAGAGTAAAGTATACGAGATGATAACACACAAAACATCTCTGGAAGAATAGAAATCTGTGACCATGCCTCAGTCACTATGGTTTTACCTGTGAGAGGATAAGATTTGATTGATCTCTAAGGCTCCTTTATTTTATATGCTGCTGCTGCTTTTTAAAAAATGACCACTCTATGTCATTCCCTCATGAATGCTCCATGGGTCTATTTGGAATTCAGTAATATCAATATCTCAGGTGTGCTTCAGTAGTAGCTAAACTACCCAGAGAATTATGTATTTTTGTTAATTAAAATTAACAAATTTAATTAAAATTTCATCCCCCACTCTCAAAAAACACCTTGTTCAGTCTTTAACTTTAGTTGAGCAAAAGTTTAATGAGTCCATGACATTTTTAAAAAAGATTTATTCATTTTAGAGAGAGAGAGAGCATATGTGGTGGGAGGGACAGAGGGAGGGTGAGAGACTCCTAAGCAGACTCCCCGCTGAGCATGGAGCGGGAAGTGGGGCTCGATCCCACAACCCTGAGACCATGAACCAAAGTTAAGAGGTGGCCTCTCAACTGACTGAGCCACCCAGGCGCCCCAGGTCATTCTGAACTCGCTGTTTTTCTTAGGACTTCAGGAGCATTTTTTTTTTTCATAAGTCCTAGTGGGTTTCAGGTATCACTGGAAAATTCCTGGTTTTTAATTTTAGAATATAATTTAATCTACTTAGTAAATGGCTGATTCTTTTTTCAGATCTTCTACAGGTGTTCACATCTTTTTTCCCCCCTGAATTTGGTTTCTCCTATTTTTCTTCATTCTGTAATTGCTATTGAAGGAAAATTGTAAAATGTTTATGGGAAGTAGTGTGTTGCTTCATATCAGCAGGCACAAAGCTTATTTAGTTTACCAGAGGCCAGTTAGATATCACATGAGGATTTTTACACTCAGTTTTATTTCTATTAGTGTATTTATTATTAACTGCCTTAAATTCTTTTGAAAATGGTGAGCTTCAGCTCTTGTATAAAATATGTTAATTACTCCCACTTACTGTAAGTCACTGGCTTATACATTTGACACTGGGCACTTGGAGAATTTGGTGCTGACCCTCAGGAGTTTTCTGTCAATTGGGAAAGTCAAAGATGGGAGCGATAAATGTTGTAAAACAGGGTAAGTGTTCTGGTGGAAGAAGGTACTGCATCCAGCACAAGCACAGAGGAGAAGCAGGTTGATTCTTAGAGGAGGTGAGAGATTTGAGCTGAGGTTTGAAAGAGGGTTAGGGAGGGATGCGGAGAAGAAAGGGACGACGCAGTGAACTCTGAAGCAAGAGGCCCGCTTCCAGCTCTGCAACTAACTAAATGTATGATCTCAGGCATTCCCCAGCTCAGCTTCGATTTCCTCACTGAGGGAAGAATGGGGACCAAACCAGAGCATGTCTACCATCCCTTTCAGATCAAAAAGCCCGGTATCACTATCAGACTCATTTTATGAAAAGAGAATTGTGAAAGAGACAGCTTTGATAGTAATTTGAGTTTGTCTTCCTAGTGCTCTGTATTTCATGTAGTTAAAGGGCTGTCATTTCTCTGTTGTGCTGGACAGACAGCTTAAAATAGACCTTTTTAATCCATTCAGGCTTTTCGGGGTTGCTTGAAGTGGTGCTGTCGTTAGAAAATGTAAGCCTCACTTTTAAAATTCTGTATTATGTAAGTGACCTTGATCTAAGGAAACTCAGAGGGAAGAGACCTCAGATGTCCCAGAGTCTGGTCTCCAGCTCTCCATAGGGTTCCTGTCTATAGCTTCTAAGCTTGTGAAGATTTCGTCTTGGGACTCCCAGCCAGCAACTCAGGGCTAACGGGTACATTTAAGGTAGAAACTCATATGCCATATTGAGGGAGAATATAAAATATAAAAATGGCAGTTTTGTGCTGTTGGTTGAGCGTCTGCCTCTCAATTTCAGCTCTGGTCATGATCTCAGGGTCATGGGATTGAGCCCTGTGTCGGGCTCTGTGCTCAGTGTGGCATCTGCTTGAGATTCTCTCTCCCAGTCTGCCTCTGCCCCATCCCCCACTCTCAAAAAATATATATATAAATAAAAAAGAAATACTAAAAAAGAATAAAATAAATAAATAATATATTTAAAAAATAAAGAGTTAAAAGAAAATTGCAGTTTTATTTTAAAGCCTCATGCAGTTAGGACAGTTCCTCCTAATACTCTCTTCTCCCCTCAGAATCTTTGGGCCCGAGGCTGACTAGCTTAGTTTTATTTTTCTATATGTTTATACATACTTTTCTTGGGCAAACGATTTGAGGCATTTCACCAGAATATAAACAATGTAATAAAAGAAAAAAATATTTTAAAATAACTTAGAAAATAAAAAAAGGAGGCCCGGGGAAAATAGAACTGAGGAATCAGCGGAGGAGGGGAAGGATATTCAGAGAAGCAAGGTATAAAGGGCTCAGACTGGGCCACACACTTGAGTCTGAGCTTCCTGGCAAGCCAGGCAAAAAGAGTAGATACGAAGTTGTCCCCACAAGGAAAAATTTCCTTCTGGACAAGCACAGCTCTTCTAGACCTTTGGCTGAAAGGAATGTATGTGGAGGGTTCTTTATGAGCCTGTGGCCTGTGGTTCTTGTGACGGGGGCTCCTGGGCCCAGCCATCTGCTTCATGTCACTCTTTTCTTCCAGGAACAATGAATCATTCCCAGGACATAGGCCCTGGAGGCATGCCTGAAGACAGAAAACTTTATATTGTGGATTCCATAAACGACTTAAACAAACTTAACCTCTGTCCTGCGGGATCACAGCACCTGTTCTGTATGTGCGCCCTCCCAGGCTCGGTGGCTCTTCCTGGCTTCCAGGCCACCTAAAAATAGCAAATGCTAATCTGGACCTGGGGGTGTGGGGGGGGCAGGGTGGGCATTAGGAACAGCTCAGTGACGGAAGTGCTATTTATTATTAGGCAATTCTTGTTTTTGTTCTTTTAATACTTGCTAGGTGTAGGGGCTTTCTTGGCTCCTAAGCAAGATTTGGAATCTGTCTTCAAGGGTTCTGAGACTTTCCTGTGGAGTGTCTCTCCCAGGAAAGTGTTGGAGGCTGTAGGTCTTCCAAGAGGTTTGCTCCTCCCTCTGGGCATCTGTTGCACCTGCTGGGGACACCATCCACATCACCAGTGGGGCCCACTTCCCTAGAGAGCTCTGACTTCATAGTGGATTCCTGGAAAATGCTCCACACATTCCTCCAGCTCTTAAAAAGGCATTAGAATTTTATTGGGCAAAGAAATCAACTTAATTTTCTACTTACAAATTACAAATGGCCCCAACTAAAGGCTTAAGAAAGGGGGGGGGAGCAAAACAAAAATCTGCTAAATATTAAATGTAGACTTTATTCCCTAAATATTGTACACGAGCTCGATCAGATCATTCTGAGCCCCATTTTTCCAGCTTAAACTGTGACATTAAAACACAGGCCTTAATTTTCCACTGGCCATTTGTTCCATTCCCGTTCTAAACTCTGACTGTCCCAAATTTACACCTATTATTCCCCTTTTCCATCCTTCCTGAGGTCTTGCTTGTTTCTTCATTTTAATGCGTTTGGGTTTTCACCTGCCTTTACTGGGTCAGTCTCAATAGACACAGGTGTTTCGATGCCAACTTATCCCATCGCTTTGATTAGGAAGCAAAGGTTGTTGTAGGGTGACTTGGCTCAGGACACAAGGCACTCACCCAGCTACAATCAAGTAGCACCCTGTGTGGGACTGATGCCAAGGAGGAGAGAATACAGAAAGGAAGTCATTAGTCTTCCCAAGTCTATTTCTTAATGAATTTACTTTGGGTGTCACTAGGCACACGGGCCTTACAAAATGATGGCCGCATGCAGACACTTCATGCTCTGGCGGACCCAAGCTGCCTTAAAAGCATGGTTGCAGTCTCAATTTAACTTCAGAACATTTAAAAGAACCTTGTTTCCAGAGCAGCTTGATCCCAAAGATGCTTCTAAGAGACGAAAATACATTGGAGCCATTTTTCTGCTTAAATGGATGTGGGCTTCACTGATGACTCCCATGATGCAAGGAGACATCTCTGTCTTTGGGTGACATCCCAGAGTAGTCTGCCTTCTGCTTAGAAGAGGTGTCCCAGCCAGCTGTGTTTTACTCCTGGTTCACACTGGCGGAAGGTGAGACAGAGCCTCCAACATTCTGAGCCTTTAATGTATGTAGCTTCCTCTACCCAGCCCAGGAAAAGCCCTGGTCCTGCTCCTTCAGTGTTAACACCATCTTCAAAGAACTTTCCAAAGAGATTCCTTGTTTTTTGAATACCAATGTTGAAGAAGGTAAAAAATTCACAAAGACCACCAGCCCAAAGGCATTCTTAAAACCTAAGTCACTCTCCAGGGCGATCACTGGGGAAAACGGGTGTATCCCTTACTCACACTCTAATCATGGGGACAGTTCAGGTCTGTGGACTAACCATCTGCAGAGGAGTTTTTGTCATTGTTTTTGTTTGTTTCCTATCAGCCCTTGAGGAGAAAATCCCGGATGTTGGCACTAACTCAGGAAACGGAAGTCATAGTCTGTTTTTTATGGGGCTGATAATTGTGCTGATTGTCAGCCTGGCACTGGTTTCCTTCGTGATTTTTCTAATAGGTAAGTACCACCGACATGTTCTCATTACTCAAAGGCTCTTACTTCATGGCTGGTTGTTTAACTTTGTTCTGGGTGGAGTCGTGCTTTTTGGCACTCACAGCTCTGCTGAAAGAGGTTGTGCGGTGGCCCTGAGTGAGCCCTGCGGCTCCAGGAGGATCGTGGGGACACAAGCCCATGGTGCCCAAAGTTCACAAACACCTCCTAGGACTTTACTCTCTTACTTGGAGTCCCTAGCTGTCAAATGGCCGGCGGCTTATCCTTGGTGACTGTCGGTTTTCTTGGTCCAGTGTAAAACGGTTCTATTAAATTCAGGTCTGTAGCAGGGCTCTGCAGCCCCCCCCCCCCTCCCCCGCCGACCTGGGGAGGCAGTGTTAGGAAGGCAGTAAGACCACTTCTTTCCTGTCTGATGGTGCCTGGGCTCTCCTCGCTGCCCTGCCTGCTCTCAGCCTGGGCTTGACCTCTCCCGTGGGGACCTGGGCTGTCCCACACAGCTCCTCAGCTGAAAGACTGCCCCACGCCCTCAAGCCCACCAGTGTTCTCTCACAGCTAACCCCTGTGGGTCATCACTCAGGATTTTTTTCAGCTTCCTCCCAGCCCCGAGAGAAGAGTGAAAGAAGCCCGAGTGGAGGGAGTCATCTTTGACACCCTTTCCCCCTGGATCCACCACACTGTCATTCTTTCTGCCCTTTCCTACTTTGCAGGCCGTGTAGCCTTTGAAAATCTGCATTGAGAAGTGGAGCCCATGTCTTTGGAATGCCCTTAATTTAAATTCATTCAGGATTAGAGGTAGGGCTGGTGGATGGGGGGAGACAGGTGGGCAGAGGACGTGACTCTTTGATAGCTTCCCACCCTTTTTTCCCCCAAACTCCCTCCTTCCAGCTAAAAGGTTTTTATCCAGCCTGTAGGTGGGGGCAGGTGGGGAGGCATCATGTTTAATCGCTTCTCTCTCGCCCAGCCCTTGCCTTCTTGCACTTAGAAGCTGCAAGGGCAACCTTCCTGACAAGGTGCCCTTGTATCTGACCGTCGGCTGGATGTGGGTTGTTCCTGAACCTTCAGGACCATAGAGAGCCTATGGATTACCTTCTGACATGTTACACCAACAAAAATGAATGCTCCAAATATCATTCTGCCACACCCATCTGGGACAGTGACTGAGTTAAACTACCATGCCCAAGGTCCACAGCTCATAAGTGCCCAAAGACTCTCCCGCCCTACCTCAAAGAGCGTGACTTTATCAGCATCCTTATAAATATGGTTTATTTTATATTTGCTGCTGGTGTTTTATATTGAGGGCAAAGTCATATTAACAAGTGGAAGAAGACATGAATAAAGGATGTCTTTATTGGGCAGTTGCTCTGTGCCAGACACATAAATTCATTATCTTAATTTTTACATCTTGAGGTAGTATTTAATATTTCTATTTCATCAATGCAAGACTAAGGTCCAGAGAGTTGACCTCTCCATGTTTACCCTGCTAATCAGAGGCAGAACCAGGATCCAAAGCCTCATCTGTCTGGCTCCAGAGCTCCCCTGCCCTCCATTTCCTGCATTGAAGTAATAAAGTAAGGACTTCCTCTGGTTTTCAGACAAAACTTAACTCAAACTAAGACCAGAGTTGGCACAGGCATCTTGAAATGAACTTGGCCTGTGCTCCTCTTTAACAAGGAAATCTTTTTGCTCTCAGTGGGATTGAGTGCAGATTTGTAACCTTTCTCTGAAGTGGAAGAACTTGTATTCTTTAAAACTCTGGTCTTTTTACATGAGAGAGAAGGCTTATTTTATGCCAATTACTTTCTTATTAAACCATGGGGGCTTGGGACACCTGGGTGGCTCAGTCAGTTAAGCATCTGCTTTCGGCTCTGGTCATGATCCCAGGGTCCTGGGATCGAGCCCCAGGTTGGGCTCCTTGCTCAGCCAGGGCATCAGGTTCTCTTTTTCCTCCCAGCTTGTGCTCTATCTCACAATCTCTGTCTCTCTCTCTCAAATAAATAAATAAAAATCTTAGAAAAAATAAAACCCCAACAACGGGCCTTAGGTTTTTGTCATAATCCCTCTCCGTAAAAGGAATAATAGCTAGGGTAGATAACTATGGATGCCTCTGGTAGCAGTTTCTAGTGGCCAGGCAGTGTGTTCCTGAGAATACTGGGCACATAGGATGTTATTAAGTGTTGCCTGAAGAAAAAAAGGATCCTATGGTCAAACGCACCTGAGAATTGCTGAGTTAAATAATGCTCTTTTTTTTTTTTTACCCTCCTCTGAGTTTCCAAGGGGCAAGTCAGTATATAATGTTTCTGTAACTTTTTTGCACATGCAACCCTTTTTTTGGGGGGGGAATTTAATTTGGAATCAGTGTATTGTGGAACACAGTTAAGCCAACATGGCTGCTGCTTCCTTCTCTTTGTGACTAATGTTCTAGGAGGTTCCCAAGAGGGGAAAGTGTCTCATGTGTTAGGAATTTACTTCAGTTTCACATTTTTCCCCAGAAGCAAGTGGTATTCCATCTTGCTCTGCAGAAAATCTCAATTAAGATCCTTCCTTCAAGTTTTGGATCATAATTCATCCAGCGTAATTTTTCAAACATGGGGAAGAAGCAGCTTCTGAACAATAATTTGTCCCAAGCCTGGAAGGGGAAGCTCTAATGTCTAGTTTTCCTCCCCATATTAGTTTATTCACTAAGCCTCGTGGCATGTTACCACCATTATTTCCTGACCGATACCTTGGAAAAAACTTGCCTAAAATGGAAATCAAGAAGCTCAAATAATAAGTGTGGATTTTGTGCTGCATTTCCTGGAAATTTTAACTCTGATCAGCAGACCTAAGTGTGTTCCGTTCTGTAGCTGACTTTATCACCAGGAGTTTGGTTTATTTTGAAAATATTGTCTCTGTTCTCAGGATGGTCTGAGGGGAATTCTTATATATTCATTTATGCGCTGGTAATCCAGAACCAGCAGAGCTATGTCAAAAGAGACCAAAACCCAGGGGTGCCTGGGTGGCTCAGTGGGTTAAAGCCTCTGCCTTCAGCTTAGGTCATGGTCCCAGGGTCTTGGGATCAGATCATGATCCCAGGGTCCTGGGATCGAGCCCCACATCAGGCTCTCTGCTCAGGGAGCCTGCTTCCTCCTCTCTCTCTGCCTGCCTCTCTGCCTGCTTGTGATCTCTGTATGTCAAATAAATAAATAAATAAAATCTTAAAAAAAAAAAAAAGACCAAAACCCAGAAAACCTCATTTCCTGATGAGGAGCCAAAAACCTTCTGAGAAGAGGTCTCTGAAAAAGACAAAGTAACAATCACTTCCCTGACATGCTCATAATGAGACATGCTGGTGGTTTCCCTTGGTTGCTCACGGTGATGTTTCTCAACCAAAATCTGTGCGGAGCTTCCAAAGGTAGTCTAGGCTGGCCCCAACAAATTGTAAAAATAATCCACTTGGTAGATAACTTTAGTCTTAAGCAATTCCTCTCCCGGGCAGCTGGGCTGCCTGGGAGACTGGAGCAGGGGACTGGCCAAGGGGTCCTTTCAGCACTCAGCTAAGCACCAACACAAGGCACTAACCAGTCCTGACGGAACAGCCTGGAAACCAGTGTAACACAGTCTGTTTTCTATTTTGAAGTTCAAACTGGAAACAAGATGGATGACGTGTCAAGAAGACTAACAGCTGAGGGAAAGGACATAGACGATCTTAAGAAAATCAACAGCCTGATTGTAAAGCGACTCAATCAACTGGACGCTGAACAAAACTAAAGAAATGAACATCTAAATGCAGCTGCTAACACCGGAGCTTCGCACTTGACTGGGTGTAGGCAGGGTTATGAACTGAGCATGCGCATTTCTGCAGGCAACAGACTATCTGATTCGGATCCCAACCCTGGGGCCAACTTTCTGCTGCAGGGTTGGGAGCTACTCCAACGCAAAGGGCCATGGGGGTACTATGCAGAAAAGGGCTCATTTTATGCTAGGGTCCTTCTGCTTCATTGGGGTTAAGCGTGGCTGACATGAAGGAGAACCAAAGGTTAGCAAGAGAATTCGGCTCCTCACCTACACCTTCTCTTACAAAAGGAGCTTTGTCATCAGAATAAGTTCACTGAGCCAGTGAGGTTCATGGCACCTCAAGCACGCTTATGAATTCCTGTGACAGCTTGATGAATCCAGTGAATTATCTGTATTCAAGGGAACCAGGTGATGACTCTTCTCAAGAAAAGAAATTCTGCTCAGGTGATTAAACTCTGACTCATACTTTTCCAGGGACAGGGGCTGGGCTGACTTCAGAGCCAGTTGCCTTCTGGTATTTGTTAGTAGTACTGGTATGTGTATGGTAGGGTGGGAGTCAAAAGAGAGAGCCTGAGTTATTTAACCAATGTTTATTGAGCTCTTTGTGCAAACCGTCTATCTACTTTAGAAGAGTTCACATTCAACTGGGGAACAAGGGAAATGTATGGTTATATATATAAGTTATATAAGCTTTGTTGGCTTCCTTTCTCATGCAAAAAACCCTCAGTGTTCTGCTGATTAATTTTGAAGAAATCTGATAAGTTTGTGGTCTTTACTAAACTACAGGAGGAAATTGTATATTTGGAATATCTGGAACCTGCCCTGTTTTAGCTCAAAAGGTCAGGTACACAGTTTGTGATATGATATGCTGTGATATAAATGAGCTTAAAAAGCATGTGAGTCTTAGAAAATCTTTTATGTAATGCAAATATATTGTGCAAGTTTATTGAAGAATGCATTGCAATTCTCTCATTTTGGGCTGATGAAAACCCTGTCATTAACTATTAAACACAAACACACATGTTTACATTTTACAACACTAGTTGATGAAATAAACACAAGACATTTTACTTACCTATTTTTGCACTCAAAAGCATTTGTCCTGCATACTCGCTTCTTAAAATTGATAGATATCGTATAGAACATTTTAATAATCTAAAATTTGTGTATACTGAAAATTATTACTGAACTGTTGTTGGGTTGTGGCAAAATAATTTATCAGGAAGGAGAGAGATGCAGGGCTCAATCCCAGGACCCTGAGATCATGACCTGAGCCAAAATCAACAGTTGGATGCCCAACTGACCGAGCCACGCAGGCGCCCCTTTCCTTTCTTTTTAAATAGCTTTCTTGAGTTATAATTGACATATAAAAGTTGTATATATTTAAGGTATACAACTTGATGTTTTGATATACATATTGTTGGATGAGCACCACAATTAAATTAATTAATATATGCATCACCTTTATAGTTACCATTTGTGTTTGGGGGATTTAGGGGTAAGAATATTGAAGAGCTCTCCTCTTAACACATTTCAGGTGTACAGTACGGTGTTGTTAATTGTCATCACCATGCTGGACACGAGGTCTTGAGAACGAATTCTTCTTGCATTACTGAATCTTTGTACTCTTTGCCCACATAGCAGTCAGATATGGCGGCTGAGAAATGGGCTGGGGAACCCAATTTCCTGGTTTCGATGCTGCTGCCACTGTTTACTGTGAGTTTTGGAAAATTAACTTCAGCGAAACTGGGTAACAAATCTATTTCTTAATATTGTTGGGAGGCTTAACAGAGCCTTCAGTGCTTAATAAAGCACTGAAAACTAGCAGAAACAAAGTAAGTATGAGTTGTTATTGTAATTATTATTTTTAAAAATAGTAAGTATGGTTTGGTGGAAATAACTCACTGCATTTAAACCTCTGCATTAAGTCTTTGGGACTTAAAGCCAAAATATTTTTTTCTGCTGCAGTGTTTAAGACCATAACATCCTGATCTCATCCGGCCAAGGATGATAGGGCGAGGGGCTTTGTAGCAAAAAATTTACTGTGCTCTAGGAGATGATCAATAAATGCAGGAGGGTTTTATTGTTTATCAAATAATCTAGTCTGACGAACATCAGGGTCCACATTTGCTTACCTGAGATGGAGCCAAGAATCTGTCTGTCTGTCCAGCACTAATAACGTGCCACAGGGTTCAGTGGAAAGAGGGAGCACGCAGAGGAGAAAAAGAAATAGAAAAGACAGCTGACCTGAGACATATCCTGATAGGAAAAGAAAAGAACATTTGCATCATTCTTTGGACTCTGTATGTGTTCACAAGGGGCTTAGAGAGAGAGGTTTTTGTTTTTTCTGGCAATGGGCTCCACTGTGATAGAAGGATTACACACACCTTCTGCCTCCAGATCCCAGGCCATGCCCTTTCTTTCTTTATTTTTTAAAGATTTTATTTATTTATTTGAGAGAGAGAGAGAGAGAGAGAAAGAAAGCATAAGCAAGGGGAATGGAAGGCAGAGGGAGAAGCAGGCGCTCACCCTGATGCGGGGCTTGATCCCAGGACCCGGGACCACTGACCCAAGCCCAGCGCGGACCCTTATCTACTGAACCACCCAGGTGCCTCAGCCATGTACTTTCTATTCCACCTTCTTCTTTTTTTTTTTTTTTTTAAAGTTAATAATCTCCGTTTTGGCTTTTTTTTTTTTTTTTAAATTTTATTTATTTGTCAGAGAGAGAGGGAGAGAGAGCGAGCACAGGCAGACAGAATGGCAGGCAGAGGCAGAGGGAGAAGCAGGCTCCCCGCCAAGCAAGGAGCCCGATGTGGGACTCGATCCCAGGATGCTGGGATCATGACCTGAGCCAAAGGCAGCTGCTTAACCAACTGAGCCACCCAGGTGTCCCTCTATTCCACCTTCTTCTAGCCCCTCAGAGTTCTGCCTTGGCAACGGCCTGCAGGTGAGCCTAGCCCAGCCCTTCCCCCAACGCTCTGCTGTTGACACATGGAGGCACGTGGGAACACGCAGCGCGTTGGAGCACACTGGGGCACGCAGCAGCCTGAACTAGGAGGCCCCAGCTTCCCAGTATGGTGGCTGAGCTCCAATTTAGGGGACACACATTACTCATTTCTCCAGAAAAGACCAAGACCCTCTGTCTAGGGACTGCCTATCTGCAAAGGGGATGCCAATCTGCAAAGCAAGGCTTTTGGGTAAGAACAGAGCAAACCTGGAGAGTTAAAAATAACAAAAACAATTGCTTATTTTACTACTGACAGCCCGTGGAAAACGGGAGGGTTTTGGTGCGCATGCCATGTCGACTAACCGAGGTGTCTTAGAAATACCAAACCATTGGGTTCTAGTCCATTTTTATTGCTTAGCAAGATAATTTCAGTGAAAACAAGATTTCTCTGAGTTAGGGGGTATAAAATAATTTTATTCCAGCTTGACATAATGACCCCATTTAAATTCAGACGAGGATGAGGGAAAGAGAGATCGTCAGAAAAGACTGGTAATCTATTCCCTTTGTAAACGAGTTTGCGCAGAAGAAGCTGTGAAAGGGAGACAGGGCCATGAGCTATCTTTTCACGGAGTCCGGATGTGTATTTTTTTTTTTTTTTAAAGAGGAAAAATGAAATTATTCTTATTGGAACCTGTGTGCCCCCTTATTCTTACTTGGTGAAGATAAAGCTTCTTAGTCAAAATTTTTATGGGGAAAACATTATAGAAATACCATTCTTCTTACTGTGAAGGTGAAAAGGATTTTTAAAGATGTGATGAAAAAGCAAGTCAGAACAAGCTTAATTCTCTATAACGAGTGGGATTGGAGCGTCTCTGCCGCACTTGGTGGTGTGGGCTGTGCTGGGCTTCCCTGAGCCCGCGCTGCAGAGGATCTGAGAGGAGGCTAAGGTGTGGTCCTCCCTCCAAGTGGGCTTCTGATCTATGTCATCTGGTATGTTAGTAACAAATTATTTTCCAAACTGGGAAGATAGGTGGGACATTACTTTTGGTTGGGAATGGACGGCGTTTTGATAAGCGTATAGATTTTATGAGAACAGCTGATCAAACACATCCACGTCAATTACTTATAATGGTAATACTTCCAGCACCTGATAATAATATGTTGTCTCAATGTCTTACTCAGAGAGGCCTTGATGTTTAAGATTTTTTTCAAACGAAATTTTGTTCCTCAAACCAAAAGATTTGGTTAACACCCCCATAGTTCTTGCTTTTAAAGTATGAAGAGCCAGAGAAAACAGACGGAAGCATTTAATGTGTTGTGTGGCTAAACTCCTGGCTCTGTGCTGGATTCTTTATATAATTTTTTAAATCACAAGAACCTGTGAGGTTTCTTAAAAATAGATGATGTGGGGCGCCTGGGTGGCTCAGTCACTGACTCATCTGCCTTCAGATTGGATCATGATCCTGGGGTCCTGGGATCAGTCCTGCATGGGGGTCCGTGATTAGTGGGGAGCCTTCTCCCTCTCCTTCTGCCTTTCCCTGCACCACCCCACCCCGTGCTCTCTCTCACTCTTTCTTTCTCTCAAATAAATAAATTTTAAAAAATAGATTAGATGATTACTTCAGCCTGAAAAAAAATTTTTGTTTTCAATTTGGTTCTTCAGAACAAGTGAATTGCAATTATTGGAAATGGGGATGGGGGGAGAATGTTTGTGCAAATAAGACATGAGAAAAAGGTATTGGCCTGCAACCACAAACAGGAGATAGCAGTTTCCAGCGTGCTCACTGAGGGCATCACCAGGAAGACTTAAAAAAAAACAACAACCCTGAGTTCCGATCCTACTCTCAGACATTCTGAGCTGGCAGGCGGGGGGGGAGGTGGTGTTGGGAGTTCATGTTTTTAAAAAGTTGCTGTGATGATTCTGGTGCTCTGTTTGGACGAGTGACTATACAGATCACGGATTTGGAGTAAACTTGGGATTGGATTCTGGTACTATGCATGAGTAAGAGTGTAGCTTTGACCTCTT